GGGGCGGGGGGGGGGGGGGCGGGGCGGGGCGAAGCGGGGCGGAGTGGAGCGGAGCGGGTAGGTCAAGAGACAGGGTGCGGTTCTGATTCTGTTAATTAACGATAACGTTGCTTTCGCGTCTGCTCAGAGGCGGCTCCTCTGCCGTCTTGATTTTGCCAATCTTTTTCACCAATCTTTTTTAATACCGTTTCTCTCTCGACGTACGTACATGTGTATCGTTCACGCCTTGAATGATGGAATGATTAAATTCTGAATGAAGCGTACTTGTCAAGTATCGTGTGTTTTTCAACGCCATCTTAAATGAGTTTCGAAAGCGTGTACCGGCTAATTATTCATCGAGATACACACACACACACACACACACACGCACACACACACACACACACGCACGCACGCACGCACGCACGCACACACACACGCACACACACACAGAGTGTCTGGTAAGTTTTGACAAAGCGCACTAAAAATTGCGGAGCAGACTAAATTGAGTCGAAACTTGAGTCCTTTACCATTTTGCAGTTTTCGCAATAGTTGACGAGATATTAATTACTAAAAATTGCCGAATATATTAGTCTTCAATAATTTTTTACTCAAATACTATCAACTTTAGGGGAAAACAGCAGGAGACAAAAATTGTTTGTTTTCTTCTCATTCAGAATTCTTAAGAATTTTTTCAGAATTTTTTTTATCAACTTTTTAACACTTCATTTTCTTATTTTTTCCAACGTGAGAAAATACGATATTGAAAAATTCTGAAAATATTCTCAGAACTTTATGAGAAGAAAATAAACAATTTTTGTCTCTTGCAGTTTTTCCACAAAGTTGGTAGTATTTGAGTAAAAAAATGATTAAAAACCAATATTCAGCGATTTTTAGTAATTAATATCTCGTCAACTATTGCGAAAATTGCAAAATGACAGAGGACTTTTCGATTCAGTTTAGTCCGCTCTATCTACATACAAGCGCTTTGTCAAAACTTGACAGATACCCTGTACCTAAATGTATGTATACACCCTTACGCTTCCGTTTTAGTATATTTCTTTCCAACAAAGAAATTTCTACTCCAACTTTTCTTTCGAAGACGAAAAGAGTAGAAAAGGCATATTTTGATTTTAAATTAAATTTCGTAATGTATATAATATTCTGTCGTTGTGAGCCAATTGTGATTCTTTTGTATCCTTTCGTAGATAAAGCAAGTAAGGAAACATGTGCGACGAGGAAGTAGCAGCGCTCGTAGTCGACAATGGATCCGGTATGTGCAAGGCTGGCTTCGCCGGGGATGATGCTCCCCGCGCCGTCTTTCCGTCGATCGTCGGCAGGCCACGGCACCAGGGTGTCATGGTTGGTATGGGACAGAAGGACTCTTACGTCGGTGACGAGGCCCAATCCAAGAGGGGTATCTTGACACTCAAGTATCCGATCGAACACGGTATCGTTACCAACTGGGACGACATGGAGAAGATCTGGCATCACACGTTCTATAACGAACTGCGAGTAGCTCCGGAAGAACATCCGGTTCTTCTTACCGAGGCACCTTTGAATCCCAAGGCTAATCGCGAAAAGATGACGCAAATTATGTTCGAGACGTTCAACACTCCCGCCATGTACGTGGCGATCCAAGCTGTCCTGTCGCTCTACGCGTCCGGTCGTACCACCGGTATCGTGCTGGATTCGGGCGATGGTGTTTCTCATACTGTACCGATCTACGAGGGATACGCCCTGCCGCACGCTATCCTCCGCTTGGATCTAGCCGGCCGCGATTTGACCGACTATCTCATGAAGATTCTCACGGAGAGAGGTTATTCCTTCACGACTACTGCCGAACGAGAAATCGTTCGCGACATCAAGGAGAAACTTTGCTACGTCGCGCTCGACTTTGAGCAGGAAATGGCCACGGCGGCATCTTCCTCCAGTTTGGAGAAGAGTTACGAGCTTCCCGATGGTCAGGTAATCACTATTGGTAACGAACGATTCCGTTGCCCCGAGGCTCTCTTCCAACCCTCCTTCCTAGGAATGGAAGCTTGCGGCATTCACGAGACTACGTACAACTCGATCATGAAGTGCGACGTCGACATCCGCAAGGATCTGTACGCCAACACTGTTCTATCCGGCGGCACCACCATGTATCCTGGCATTGCCGACAGAATGCAGAAGGAGATCACTGCCTTAGCTCCGTCTACTATGAAGATTAAGATTATTGCCCCACCCGAGAGGAAATACTCTGTATGGATCGGTGGATCGATTCTCGCGTCGCTTTCTACCTTCCAACAGATGTGGATCTCGAAGCAGGAATACGACGAGTCCGGACCCTCCATCGTCCACAGGAAGTGCTTCTAAATCACGCGTTCTCGATCACATCTACTATCATTCCCCGATCCCTGAGACTTTGAGAAATGAGAGAGAGAGAGAGAGAGAGAGAGAGAGAGAGGGGCTTTTGTCTCGTTTCGCAGGCGGACGTAACATCAACTTCCGCGACGATTGCCCTTTGGTTCCTCCGGAGCAAAGGTAGCTTCTTTCAATTTTCGGATGTACGTGTTTAAGATACGCGTGAGGTAAGCGTCTCCGATTAAACGAGAGAGAGAGAGAGAGAGAGAGAGAGAGAGAGAGAGAGAAAGAGAGGAGCTTACGATGTATCGCCCTCCTTCCGCGATTGTTCCTCGGTCTTGGCGGTAACCCAAAATAAATCGACGGCTCATTCTTGCTCGTTTTAAACGTGGCCATTTTCCATCGTTTTTCATCTATATATTCGATATAACGATCTTAAACATGTGCCCCGATTTCTGAATACCTTTTTCTACCTTGTATCGAGTCCTTTGTATTATATATTTGAATAAAACTTGTGTCTACGGTAGCATTTAGCCAAACATTCCTCCCGAGACATTCTTCTCTCAACGCGAGAGAAAAAAACGCTTCTTTTTCTGTTAGTAGACTCTCCCGTAAACGTCGTACGCGTAAACCTCGATTGCCGTTTTTCTTCGAGAATTCGAGCAAGAAACGTTCACGCGGATAACTCTACAGTTTCTGTCGCGGGAAGGACCGTTTATTACTCTTTTCGTCGATAGAGACGGCAGAGTTCGGATATTACGTATGGCAATCAACGTCGATCAATGCATTCCGATCAATGTATGCGGTATTTTTAAGAGATGCTTGCGTCAAAACTCAACATACGTTGTACGCTCATTCCGCGCAGAGAACCTCTGACTTCTTACCTGTTTATTCCGTTTTCCATTACAATTTGCCTATCGTTGAGGGAAAATATGGCCTTCCCCCTCTTTTCTTTCTTTTTTCTTTTTTTTTTACACGATGGGGTAAACCGCTGATCCGGAAAGGTTCTACCACTATTCTACCGTTCACTAAAATAAACGGAAAAATGATAGGCACCACGGTTTCGACCCCGTAAGTTAGCCAAAGTATTATAATTTATTCCCATTGTATTGCGCAAGACCATTCACGTACACATCTTAAAGACTACTTTAGACTTATGGGATTATAAAATAAAAGTCTGAAAAATATGATTGTGATTTGTTTTTTTTTTTAAATCTTCCCACCCTTCACAACTCTCCACATTTTTCTATCTCTTTTCTAAAGCGACTAGTATATCGCTAATCGTGTAAACTTTTCTCGTGAATTCCTATATGATTACTTTTATTTCTCGTTTGGGGTGCACGTTGATCTCTTTACGAGTTTATAATATTTTTTTTTTTGGTACAGTTTCTCCAGTTTTTCTGTAACATCCGTAACGCAAATTGAAATTTTATTCTTCCTTGCCTAAGCGCTCGGAAGATGCTTGTAATTTTGTTATCTACTCGAATTCTTGGAGCTCTGTAAAGTTCTTTCCCCCTCTTGCCTTTTTTTAATCTTGCACCTCGATATTTTTGCTAAGGAAAGCTCGTAAATCGATCCAAGTATTTATAATTGTAAAAGAATTCCGAGGATTTTGAGACACTCCACAGGCAATTGATAAAAGAGTTTCTAGAGAAAACGAGAAATCTAACGAATTAAAGCTGTACAATGAACTATAACGAATTATAGCTATACGGATGAAACGAAAAATTGATTCTACAAAAGAATGATAGAAAAGAGTAGCAGTAAGTAATAATAGCAAATAGGTAAAATAAAATAAATTGCGCGGTGGAATCGAAATATTCCAAGAGACGATCTCATTTTACGCCTGGATTCAATACAGAACACGGTTTCTTCGTCTTTTGAGAAAGCGTTTGCTTTGGTGAAATTAATTGCAAATCAGAATGTGATTGTTTGATATCGACAATTATTATCGATCGTTTAAACTTGGGCGAAAACATAGGCGCCGGGAGTGCCGTGACTCGTATGACCGATTGATTTCGGAGTAACGTTCGTAAATGTAAACGACGCGTCTCTCTCGTCCACCCCTTCCCCCTTCCTCCGTCTGTCCACCGTTTTCTTGCGGACGAATATGCGGGCTGGGAGCAGCGGGAGTTGGGATTACGTACGTATTTTTCCACACACGCACGTTTGACTGACTGATTTTGAACGAGAATGAAAGAAACGTGGGTGCAGTGTGTCAACATCTTTGTGATACAGTCGCGTTGTCGTCGTATCAATGGAAAAGTACGGAACGACAAGTCGGTGATGATCGGCGTTCGTCAGTGACTAGTAGATAGATATGCGAGCGAGAGACGAGAGGGCGAGTGAACGAGACGCGACGCTACGCGACGCGACGCGACGCGACGTCCTCTCTCTCAGATACGTGGTTTGAGAATTTAACGCCGGTGTTCGACTCGAGAGAGAGATGCCCGAGGAGAATATTAACGATCAGTATCCAACATGGGTAAGGAAAAGATGGGCTTAATTTGTCCGCATATACTTGCGTTGTCCATAATTGACATACTATATAGATAGGCGTACCGCGTTTACTGACCCTAACCTCAACTTATTTTTCAGAGTCAGAGCGATATAAATATTATAAATAAATAGTAGATTAGACTAGATTAAATTGTTGTGGCGCTCAAAGATATCTTTGTCGTAGGTTGGACTCGCGTACGTCTTCAATCTCATCGTTGGAACAGGCGCTTTGACTTTACCCGCTGTATTCAGTCGAGCGGGATGGGCACTTGGATCAAGTGTCATTTTAGTGTTAGCGTTCATCAGGTATGCAGAAAGAATTTTTCACATCGTAGACCTCAAAATCTCTTGTCTCCTCTCATTAAATTTCTTCTTCCCTGTAGTTTTATCACGGTTACATTTGTCATAGAAGCAATGGCGTCTGCCAATGCTATCGTTATGTGGAGGCATACGCAGCATCGAAAACGCGTAAGTGTTTTCCAACTTGTTTAGCTTTCTACATATAAGGGACAGCCGAGTGTACTGCAGATATTTTAGAAAGATGTGCAAGGTAACGTTGTGGCAAGAGGCAGATTGGCATATTTGATATTGATAGCAGCGATACGTATATATATTTTACGCATCGTTTTTGTTATTTGCAACGCGTATAGGTGTAACACTACGAATCGAAATACTTTTCAGGTTTTACAGACGACAGGTGAATCTGGTCCTTCCAATTCAGATTCGGAGGACACTCCGTTGGTAGCTCCTCTTTCAACCAGTCCAGATCGTTTGGATACGACTTGTAGATATTATATAATTTGCGATAAAATAGAAATGGGACAGATGGCGGCCATCTTTTTCAACAGATTTGGCACTACTCTATTTTATTTATGTTTCGCCATATATCTATACGGAGATTTAAGCATTTATGGTGCAGCAATCGCAAAGTCACTAGCAGATGTCGCCTGTACTTATTTGCCAAAAAATCTTACGTGCAACGACACCGTACCGGATACTGAACTTTGCTGGGAAGGTTCTACGTTTACTCGACTGGTCGCGTATAGAATATTCCTGGTATGTCACCGATTTGCAAAATTCCACTGCTTTTAATATTCACGCGCACACACATTTTGGCCCTTTTGAATTTGACCTTGCAAAAATCAAGAATGCCTTCCTTTTTCACACTCGCATGCCGTAAGCACAGCATCAGTTGATCCTTATTGTCTATCAAATATTAAACAAAGACTAATGATACCTTACAAGCGCTGTAAACGCAAAACGGAATGCATCCCAAAGCATGCATGACCTGACAATGATTGTTGTGATATTTTTATTTATTTTCAGACAATGTTTGTATTATTATTGGGTCCCTTTGTATTTTTCAATGTTCAAAAGACCAAGCATCTCCAACTACTGACTTCGGTGATGCGATGGCTCGCATTCACTATAATGATCGTATATGCTATAAAGAATCTTTTTGTACACGGCCCTCGCGGCGATCCACCTATCGCAAATTTAGCCGGTAAGCTGAAAGTTTGATTAATAAATAATAATTATCGTCAATTTATCCTATTTATTACTAACAGATTAGATATGCCGTTAGATATAGAATAATTGTGTTAATACACAAGATCGTGTGTATCAACGATATTAACATTACCGTTAATTATCATTTTAGGAATTCCCAGCCTTTTCGGTGCTTGCGTTTACTCCTTCATGTGTCATCATTCGTTACCGGCCTTGATTGCACCAATAGCGAATAAGTCTAAACTAAATCAATTCCTAGCTCTCGATTACACCCTAATCGCTCTCTTTTATTTACTATTAGCTCTAACTGGCATCTTCGCCTTCGAGCGTTTGGACGATCTTTATACTTTGGACTTTGGACCACGTGGTTTAGGCAATTGTTCCAAGAGCGACAATATTTTTATGCTCCTTATGGAGTATTTCTTAGCCCTTTTCCCAGTGTTTACATTGAGTACCAGTTTTCCCATTATAGCAATTACGCTCCGAAATAATTTGCAGACGCTCTTTTTAAAAGAGGATACATCTTACAATTTATGTCTTCGGAAACTCGTCTTCCCCGTCTTGGCGGTAATACCACCGTATTTGATTGCGATTATTACCAAAGATCTGTCAATATTAATTGGTATCACAGGCTCGTACGCTGGAGCAGGAATACAGTATTTAATACCTACGTTTTTAGTTTATTATGCCAGGCAAAAGACTAACAAGATTATCGGCCTTGGGGTCATGAACAAATTCGCAAGTCCTTTCTCAGGCAGATGTTGGTTAGTTTTCGTCGTAGTATGGGCCATCACTTGTATGATTTTAGTATCGGTCAATTTCATACAAATACATTTGCAATCTTGGATCAGTCAATAACAAAATCAATACTATTTATACCAAAAGAGAAGAGAAATTGATGATATATATATATATATATATATATGCACAATATATTGTACCACGTGGAGTATTGATCGGTGGATTTGCATGCATTTACGGACTTATATTTTTCGTAAATTAGCCAGATTAGCTAATAGTTGGTTAGCAAGAATCAAGGGAAAATCGATTTCACATGAAGTAATCTGTTAAATTTAAGTTATACCTCGAGCCAGGTCCAGATATCAAATTGGCTCAATGTGTAATTGTTCAGCGGCCAAAATTCCAGCGTACCGAAGGAAAACGAGCAAAATCGTGCCAAACAGGATAGTCAAGTCAGCATCAAGGGTGCCAATGATTTATTTATGTTTCGCCATATATCTATACGGAGATTTAAGCATTTATGGTGCAGCAATCGCAAAGTCACTAGCAGATGTCGCCTGTACTTATTTGCCAAAAAATCTTACGTGCAACGACACCGTACCGGATACTGAACTTTGCTGGGAAGGTTCTACGTTTACTCGACTGGTCGCGTATAGAATATTCCTGGTATGTCACCGATTTGCAAAATTCCACTGCTTTTAATATTCACGCGCACACACATTTTGGCCCTTTTGAATTTGACCTTGCAAAAATCAAGAATGCCTTCCTTTTTCACACTCGCATGCCGTAAGCACAGCATCAGTTGATCCTTATTGTCTATCAAATATTAAACAAAGACTAATGATACCTTACAAGCGCTGTAAACGCAAAACGGAATGCATCCCAAAGCATGCATGACCTGACAATGATTGTTGTGATATTTTTATTTATTTTCAGACAATGTTTGTATTATTATTGGGTCCCTTTGTATTTTTCAATGTTCAAAAGACCAAGCATCTCCAACTACTGACTTCGGTGATGCGATGGCTCGCATTCACTATAATGATCGTATATGCTATAAAGAATCTTTTTGTACACGGCCCTCGCGGCGATCCACCTATCGCAAATTTAGCCGGTAAGCTGAAAGTTTGATTAATAAATAATAATTATCGTCAATTTATCCTATTTATTACTAACAGATTAGATATGCCGTTAGATATAGAATAATTGTGTTAATACACAAGATCGTGTGTATCAACGATATTAACATTACCGTTAATTATCATTTTAGGAATTCCCAGCCTTTTCGGTGCTTGCGTTTACTCCTTCATGTGTCATCATTCGTTACCGGCCTTGATTGCACCAATAGCGAATAAGTCTAAACTAAATCAATTCCTAGCTCTCGATTACACCCTAATCGCTCTCTTTTATTTACTATTAGCTCTAACTGGCATCTTCGCCTTCGAGCGTTTGGACGATCTTTATACTTTGGACTTTGGACCACGTGGTTTAGGCAATTGTTCCAAGAGCGACAATATTTTTATGCTCCTTATGGAGTATTTCTTAGCCCTTTTCCCAGTGTTTACATTGAGTACCAGTTTTCCCATTATAGCAATTACGCTCCGAAATAATTTGCAGACGCTCTTTTTAAAAGAGGATACATCTTACAATTTATGTCTTCGGAAACTCGTCTTCCCCGTCTTGGCGGTAATACCACCGTATTTGATTGCGATTATTACCAAAGATCTGTCAATATTAATTGGTATCACAGGCTCGTACGCTGGAGCAGGAATACAGTATTTAATACCTACGTTTTTAGTTTATTATGCCAGGCAAAAGACTAACAAGATTATCGGCCTTGGGGTCATGAACAAATTCGCAAGTCCTTTCTCAGGCAGATGTTGGTTAGTTTTCGTCGTAGTATGGGCCATCACTTGTATGATTTTAGTATCGGTCAATTTCATACAAATACATTTGCAATCTTGGATCAGTCAATAACAAAATCAATACTATTTATACCAAAAGAGAAGAGAACTTGATGATATATATATATATATATATATATATATATATATATTCTGCTGTCAAGAGCTCTGTCATAGAGACGAACGCGCAGGATGTTTACTTAAGAGAAACTTGACTACGGATACATTTCCATTGATACATTTCAAAACTTATCAACAGCGAAAATGTAGATATTATAGACTACGTTTATACGAACGACACCCTCGATCAAGTTTAATAACATCCGCGTTGCGTTATGAAGTTGGCCAATCGTAGCCATTTCTCTGAAGAATGGAACGACTGGGATTGATCACAGTGTCGTAACTGTATATCAATAATAATGGATGTTATTAAATCCAATTTTATATATGTATATATGACACGTCGTAAAAACGTAGTCGTAAAATTATCCAGAGCCCCAGAGCCAACAGTAAGTCGATATTGGTACAGGCGTCGATATAGCACTTGGATGCTATCAACTAAAGTGACTAAAATGATAGACACGAGATAAGAGCGATGATACAATACGTTCTGTAACGTGACTGATCTTTGCGATCTGTGAAATCCTTCAACGGAATATCGACGAGTAATAATAAGCTTTCTACAATAAGCCATTGTCTGAGCTTCAAGTCTTAACGTCTCAAGAGTCGTAAGAAATTGACTATGATTGGTCAATTTCTTACGGCTTAAGACAAAGCTTAGATAATGGCTTATTGTAGAAAGCCCATAAGGCTTTCATCATTATTTATGGCAGGATGCGTACATATACAGTAAACCGACAATACTTTGGTACACAAGTTGGCGTGTACAAGTCAAATATCGGATAGGTTCAACGTAGGAGATACTTAGCAATGTAGAAATTTGTAGAAAAAAAATGTTTGTAACATATATTTTATTTTTTTGTCCCGGGACAGAGGTGCGTGATTTTTCTTTATTATATAGGGTGCGGTCCACTTGGCGCTACAAATGCTTCGGAGCGTTTGATTGATCAATCGGAAGAAAGAATTTTACTAACTGACCAATCAAAAAATGCTTAGAAGCATTTGTGGCATCAAGTGGATCGTAGCCATAGAGACTCCAATGAATTTCCCTCATTGTGTATTTATATTTTTTTATACGCTAAAATAATTCGTGTTTATGTAAACTTACAATAAAATAATATTAGCGTATGTGATAGTACACAGGCAATAGCAAAAGTATGATATTACGATAATGTTCTTTTTGAGATTGTATTTTTGTACGAAATACGTATGAAACTGCCAAAAAGGTATTTGCAGCATGTCCGTCACATCTGTGTACATACCTGTACAAGTGTAGCGTACGTATAATAAAGAATATTGCAACTATGTGCATATGCGCGAGCATGTGTGTCTGCGTGCGCGCGCATAAAAAGCAATTGAAATGGATAATAATAAATAGTTGATTGTACAAGTTCCTCTATCGATTTATTCGCACCAGCGCGCGCGCGCGCACAACATACACATTTTTCTACGTCCTTTTATTTACTTTAATTACTTTAAACTGAGAGATCTGCATCAGAAACAGATCTTAACATACATAGATTCCTCTTTAAGATTTCAACGATACCAGACAATACGATAAAAGCGCGACAAGAGGTATTTCTGATAAAATTTTATGCCCCTGATGATCAAATGAATTAGCGTGGAATGCCTTTGTAATTTAAGCACATTTTATCCGTGAAATCTTGATTATTATAAAGCAACTTTCTTTTTACGCATATCTGTGACGACAGACTATACAATGATAATTATATTATAATAAACAAAGGACGAATTGGTGTTCTATTCAAAGAGATTAGAATTACTCGGTGAAATTAGCTTGTCACAATAATTTTGTATTTGTTTTCGAATAAATTCCGAGAGGTAACAATATGGTATAGGTGCAACCTGTGCGCTTAGCAAAAGATTAAGTTTCATCAATTTTCAATAAGCGAAAATTTGTCGCGTTGCATCTCAAATTGTGAAAGGAAAAAGAAAGCATTGCGCTGGTCTTTTTTACGTACGTAAAATTACACATACGTGTACGAGAGAACGTATCGTATGTATACGAACGCAAGTGAACACTTTGCGAGTGAACATATATATGCTATTAGGTAATGTATACCCTGCACAGTTCGGGTACATATTTACAATAAATAGCACTTTCGCGTGTACATGTATGTAGACTATTTGATTTATCTTTTTGGTTTCCAATGGACGAGCTCCTTACTACGAGATTAAATTAAATCGAGATATTTGAGTGAGATTAGATGATGGATATCTCCTAGCTGCGTACAGTCGGAAATTGTACTAGTTATCCTTTCTTTTTATTCGTCAGTCTTGAACGTTACGAATACTGCACGAATACTTATCTATTGATATACAATGTTGTCAAAGTCTTGTAAAGATCTTATTTTTTACCTGATAGTCAACTTGATTTGAAATTATTGTATTTTGTGTGTGAGATATGTGTCTTTGTATTGTGGCATTGGTTTAAATCGAGATATCAACATGCATGTGTTACATATAACGTACTAATTAATATTGTTAAGTAATTAATTAAACAGGCTACACGTTCTTGTCTTGCACTCTTTTTTTTCTCGGTTACTTAAAAAAATACTCGAACAGTTTGAACGAAAACGAAGATGTGTATCACATATCGTCGCGTGCGTGACAACGGAATTTATTCGCGTACGTGTAGACCCAGAGAGCATAATGGCTAGAATTCGTTACATTTTGTAAATATCGATGTTTATAAGAGACTCTTTATAAAGACTACTAATCAAAGTTTGTTGTAAAGAAAAATCCGTGCAGAGAGGACAGAGGGACTTTAATAGCTATCTAATAATTCGACGAAACGAGTTAATCTGTACGTCAAGTAATACTGATGAGCTCTCTTCTTCTTCTTCTTCTTCTTCTTCTTCTATAAATTAGACAGTTACTCGTAATTATTTAAATAGGGACAGTGCATATCCTCGTGACCTACACACTCTATTACCGGATCATGCGCGCTGTCCCACATTCCTGGACCACATTGTCGACATAGTCCGGCTAATGTGCAAGGTAAACGAACGAGCTGACGGAAATGATGAAGTAAGCCTCGTGCCTTTCTAAGTATAATGTTCCCATCCATATACATGGCCAATGAACTGAAATGCAGCAACATTTCGTCGGTTCGAAGATCTTGGGCGATCACGTCGTCCGCATAAACGCACATTATAGCGAGGCAAAGAAATAAGTGGAAATGATCCGTTAAATAATTGACCCAGCAGGCTTCCCACATGACCAACGCTATCTCGGTTGGGAATTCTCTTTTTAAGCATCTGCATCGAGAAAAAGTGAAATGAAGTGAAAATTATGCGAGCTATATGCTAAAAATTAATGTAAAATCTATTATAGTATAGTACGGTATAGTATAGTTTCCACTATTATATTAGACAGGGTGAGTTTTGGCGATCATTTTAATCGAACTTTACGTGACGTTTTCAAACGACTATCCAAGATCAAACCAATGGTACCATCTTTACGTCCCCCTCTAAACCATACAACTTTTGTCTGAAACATTTTTCCGCATCTTCCATATTTTTCGAGATATTTGCCTGGTTCGATTAAAATGACTCACCCCGTATACGTATGGGACATAGTCTTGTTGTACGTACAAGAGTATCCATCGATGACAGAAAAGGAGCTCCAAGGCATCCGCGTGTTTTTGAAGATGCGTATAAAAATCTGGTACCATGATTCTTACTAATTCTCGAAGATAGCACAGATTTCTATCCATATCTGTATCCGTCGGAGTGCACACGGCTACCGATCTTTGCATCAAACCCGCAAAACACCAAAAGGCCTCGATTTCAGAGTTGAGTTCGGCTAGTAACGGAGCTAAGAGATCGGACATTCCTTGAGTGTAACCCAAGCGGCAATTGTATACTGCGTAATTGAGTAAAATATTCCTGCGAGAGAAAACGGAAGAGAAGTAATAACAAGCCACACGATACGTGGTAAGTATAGCAATAGTATAAATTTGGGGATGAGACGAAAAGAGAGAGAGAGAGAGAGAGAGAGAGAGAGAGAGAGAGAGAGGAGGGGGGGGATTCTTAGAAGCATTAGAGTAAATTGTCTGGGATACTCACTTCATTATTTCGACATTGGGATTACCCTCACCGGCGTAATATGGATTAGCCCTATCCGTGCGAACAACATCTTTCTCCACTATGCACACTACGTTTCGCCAGAAACGCTCGGCTTGCTCTGGATTCATGCTCAGTCTGCGTTTCTGTATTTCTTCGTACTCTTGCTGTCTAATCGCGTCGATCTGCTCTCGGTCCTCGTAGGTACTTTGATAAGAGTAACAGTGCAACAGGAAAGGCCAAACGATCTTTCGTAGCGCTGGTTCCAAACCCCCAAAAAATATTCCCTTACGAAGAGCGAGATCATCCTCGACCTGGCCCCGTTCGTTCAATAAATCTTTCCAAGCTAGCGACGTGATCATCGGTACTTGACCCTCCTCGGGATGCAGCTCGTCTCGGCTCACTTCCGGCCGACATACCATAAAATGCCTGCGCAACGCGTCACCACAGTGGTATCAATGCGGCGTGAATCATAATCATAATCATAAATCGTTATTCGACAGAGAAATCTGCAATTTTGTTGTACATTCTAATCATTCTAATTATGCCTGACCTGTACGGCAAAGTCTCTTCCGTGTCCGTGTTTAGGCGCGGATAAAGCAGTTGATGCCATTGATGTAGAGTGGCGGGAGCCACCGTGATGGAAATGCAAGATCTTGTATTGGCTCTCCCTGCTCGCCACGACCAACTGACCGCAGGTGCAAGCAGGATCGGCGAAAAACAGCCGCAAGGATCGCATCTCGCTGAGATCCACCGAGAACCTTCTGCATCGATGCGCTCTACGCAACGTCACCGGCGATGCGGTCGCGCTCTCGGGAAAGACGAGATTGTGTTGTAACGCCAGGAGTTCCGGAGACCTCATCCACGACGGCATTTCTTCCGCTGCAGAAACAACGTCATCGCTTATAGTATCGTTAATTACGCGAAAACAATTGGCGGTTACCATCTTTTTTCTATCCTACCATCGGTAGATACCGAGATGGACAAACTGCACGTCGACGTTAATGACAAGCTGCGACTCTTGACGCTGACATCGTCGCGGTCGCGGTACGAGAAGCGTGGATCCTCGTCGATGCTCCTCGCGTCGATCTCGTTAAAGCAGTCCCGCTCTTTTACCAGTCGATCTTGATTCTTTTCATTGCTCGAGTTGGGACGATTCTCGATCTCGTTGTCGGTCTCGATAGCGGTGGCATTTGCGTCGTCGTTGCGATCGAGCGTGACGCTTGGGTCTCGCTCTCGGTGAGGTGGAAAGTCGTTGCCGTAACTGGAACGATAGCTCGAACTGGAACAAACGCGTTCGCAGTCTCCGCAATTGACCGGCTCCTTTGCCTCCAAGCACACATCTAGCCGACCATTTCCGTTATCGATCTCCGTACCGTTCTCGTTCTCGTTCTCGTTCTCGTTCTCGGTCTCAATCTCGCGTCTCGCGTCCGAAACGTTGAGCGAATCGCTGCGGGTATTTCCCGGGGCCGGGATACGGGAACTCGGGTAAGTCGGATGATCGATCGCGTCGTCCCGACGCGCGGCAGCGTTCCTGCTACTTAGATTCTCCAACGCCGTAGGATGTTTGCGCAACGTGCTGTTGGGTATCCAACTTAGGTGCAAGGTCGGAATCGGCAAATTGTTGGAATCGTTGGTCAACTTGCAAGTTATAGTCATATATCCGGGATGATGCACCACGTCGGCGTGCTGTCTCATTAACGTAGGAGGGTGCACGCAGACGTTATTTTTGCAGAACAATGCCTCGCCGTCTTGATAAACGACGCGCCGGTTGTCCTGGCCGCATTCCCCAAGGATATAGGTGCTCGCTCTTCTCCAAATATTCGGAAGAGGCATCGTCGTCTCGTCGATCGAGCGATTACTTGGTCGAGAGTTTATTAGCGATTACGTTACGTTACGTTACGTCAGTTACGTCTACGTACGTAGAGCCGTTAGTTTTCGCTGTAAAAAGACGTGATAAACTTGACTAGAAAACTCTGAAAAGTCTGACCGTTTGTTAATAGGCATGAAAATTGTTTAATTGTTTCTTATATAGACTTACTACGCTTACTTGCGAGATGAGAGACGACGACTCTCTCGCCACTGCGAGAGTCGACGAAAATTCTGAAACGACGAGCGACATTGTTGTTGCGAACGGAGCCAGGTGGAAGAGGACGTAGGACGGAGGGTGAACATAATCTGCGCAATTGTGTAATGGTAATTAAAAGCACCGGATGGATTGGATTCGCCGCGCCAGAGTCCCGCACGACGACTGCTCGTCTTTCTGCGTGGCGTACGTCGTGAATACGTAGGTACGCGAGTACGGTACGCCACTGTATGCGCGAATACGCACGCGACGGCGTTATCAGTTTTATCACAAGCACTCAGCCTCGTTACATACCGTTATTACGTGGTGTACGGAACGTACGGAGCCTCGACGATACGCAATAACACGTATCCGCGTCACGGTATAAACGTCTCGCGTTGTTGGCTTCCGAATTCCACGATAACGAATTGCGAGACTCTGCCATTTTTCACTCTTCTTCGCAGATGATTCGAGTGAAAAAGATGGATATTCTGGAAACCTCGCGATACCTTGCGTTACGAGTTACTGCCGAAACGTACTCGTCATGCACTCGTAATGTACTCGTAATTGAGATAGGTAAAGTAAAATCGACATCATCCGTTAACGTGTCTGTTTCTAAATCGCTGAAAGGCTCAGTTCAGGCTAGCATTCTTACTGCTGGCACTGCTCAATCAGCTCGAGCGTTTACTCGCTCAGTGGCTGCGCCGTCGTCGCTGCCTGCGCGTCGTTCCTGCAGGTAGCGCAAGCACGTCGATTTCGACGAGATCCGCTCGAATTGGCTGGAACTACGTTCTAGCGCGCGCGTCGTGTTGTTGACAGTTGTTAAATTTCATTTTCCGACACACGTACACATATTCGTATTCGATGATGCGTACTCGTATACTCGATAGCGTAGCTCGTCAACGGTGCATAGTACGAAAAATAACGCAGATATCACCCCGCCTTATCTAGCTGCTTATCTTATAGATTGTACTATTAGATCAATATTTCCATTTGATCACGGAACCTACCGCGACTATTCAGCCTATCCTACTATCCGACCCACTGACATTTCGCTACGTTCGCCATAGGCTGTCTCGCAGAGACTGTTTTTATCGATTGTTCACCATCACGTTTTCACGTTTCTTAATCGTAACGTACAAAATTGCGTAACCGTGCACACGTTAAGCGTTTCGCGCTTTTACACTTTTAATCGATCTCTCGTCCAATTTCTCTCCCGTATAAGTACTTGCACAATTTCTTTCTCTCTTTTTCTTATTCGAGGCTAAAGTTACATCAATTATGTTATGAAATTACAACGAATCTCAATCGTTTCACACTTAATTCAGAATGTTGCAATTAAGTCCGAGCTTTAATTGTTTTAATGTATTTGTAATGAAGTAGTAGGTTTCCAAATAATGTAAATGCGTGATGTATAATTGTGTGTGTGAGAGAGAGAGAGATCTTTTAATAATATATGCCATATTGAAACATTAAACATTTGTTACGAATACCTTCCATGAATCACCGTACTATCGATTGCAACGACAGTTTAGTAAAACTCATAGTTAAAGAGTATCTTGTGATCGTTGTCGAGAGCCAGCCCTGACTTAGGTCCGCGTTTAAGATACGATATCGTAGAATATGCTGAATAATGAAAGTCCTCTTGTAGATAACCGTTTATCAGCAAATACCCTACGATAGCCTCTGCGGTTTCTCTCGTAAAATTTGGCACGGGTACGTTAGAAACTCGCAATGACGAGGCACCTTTACCGTACCAAGCGTCTACGAGCTTCAGTGCGGTCAATCGTGTTTCGTTTTGCACAGCTTTAGTCATAATCTGATACAATTGTCTACAATAATGCGCTACGTCGATCTGCTTTCTAACGCTAGGTTTCCTACAATGATCACACATTTCTGCACAGTCGGTCTCTTTCCAATTTTCTTCAAAGTGAGTCGCTATCCAACTCCGTCTACAGGACGTTTGATCTAAGCAGTACGCCAATACTTTATACAAATTTTGCAATCCGACTTTATCTTGAAATACCATCGTACTCAATTTAAATACGTCCGCTAATCTATAGAGCACAAGACACACCGACTTTTTGCCATCTCTACCCGCTCGACCGCTCTCCTGATAAAAATTCTCCATCGATTTGGAAACGCAATGATGAATCACGAATCGCACATCCGGTTTGTCGATACCCAATCCAAAAGCGATAGTTGCCACTACCGCTTGATACTTGCCCGACATCCACTTGGAGTAAACTTCCGATCGGTAGTTGGCTTCGAGCATCGCGTGATAGCATCCAACCTTGACACCTCTGTCTCTCAAATCAGTCGTCAGTTGTTCCGCGTCTTTAATCGTAGTCGTGTAAATTATCCCCGACTTGCCATTAAATCGATTCTTCAATAGATTTTCTATCATCGCGAGACACGTTTCCTTATCTGCCGGTTTGCGACGAACTTCGTAATATAAATTGGGTCTATTGAATGAAGCTCGTAAAACCAGGCAACCGCTGATGTCCAGCATTTTCTGCACGTCTACGATGATTTTAGCCGGAGCCGTCGCAGTGAGACCTAGAATCGGTATTCCAGGGAACATAGATTTCAATACTCCCAAGAACTTGTAATCGGGTCTGAAATCGTGTCCCCATTGACTACAGCAGTGCACTTCGTCGATCGCAAACCGTTCTAGATGCCCCGACTCGTACGCCTTTTGCAGTTTATTCATGAAGCGATTCGACTTTGCCATATATTCCGGCGTTACATAAATCAGTTTAAGTGGACAACTTTTATCCACGAGGGCTGCCATAGTCGTTTTGACGCTTTCCTTGTCAGCCTTTGCGCACAGCATATTAGCCTTTATGTCAAGTTTACGCAATCCGTGCAACTGATCTTCCATCAAGGATATCAATGGTGAAACTACCACCGTTATACCTTTACTCATCACAGCCGGTAATTGATAACATAAACTCTTACCACCACCCGTAGGCATGATCAATATCGCATCTTCCTTGGACATGATCGCGTTCATAGTCGGTAACTGTAACTCTCGTAGCTCTTCTATCTTGAATACGTTCTTTAACGTTTCTGTCAGCTTTACGGACCAAGCGAAATCCTTATTGTCCCAATTGTTCTTGGACAGGGAAAAACTTTTCTTTAAAAGAGCATCGTCGCGCAATTTCTCTTTCCGTCGTGTCAATAATTTCTTGCGGTCTTGCAATTTCTGCAGCTCGTTCTCTATCTGTTGTAGCTCGTAATCAATAGCAGCTATCTCGTTGTTCTCCGTAGCTAAAATTTTCGAGAACAAGTTCTTAGAGTAATCTGTGTAATCTCGTTGACAAGGAATTGAGCTAACAAGGGGAATTTTTGCAATACCATTTATCCAGATACGGTGAACGCTGAGGTCAGATTATCTTCTTCTCAACAACCAATGAAGGAAAAGATAACGTGACTTTGGCGTTTACCGTATCTGGATTCACGTTATTGCAAAAACTCGATAATATTACCAACGATTACTTGTATCATAAACCGCTAGGAAGTAGTATCTTGCCGATACGAATCTCGAGACTGAAATTAATTAATGACGTGTCTCTCTCTCTCTCTCTCTCTCTCTCTCTCTCTCTCTCTCTCTCTCTCTCTACTCGTAATGTTGAATTTAATGACAAATGCAAAAGCAAAGAATGTACTACGGATTTTAGGAATGTTACAGCAAACGTTTTGTTTTACACTTAACCAACCTTGTTGACACTCGTCATCTATGATAATTACGTCTCTAGTGTGGTTAGTGGACATTCTAATCGACTATATCCTTCTCGTTGAAATCCAAAAGCCGTGAAATTTAATGAATCACAAGGACGCATTTGTGTCTTATGAACATTGAATTTTTATTATTGGCCCTAACCTACAACATTTTGCCACATTTTACATGATTTCACCAGATTTCACCAGATTTCACCAGATTTCACCAGATTTCAGATATCAAAAGAGGTGCATTCAGAATTCAGATCAGACGGTGTTATGCGTCGTTTACAATTTGCGAAGTAAGCTTGATTTAAGAAGTAGGAGTAAAAAATTGACCAATCACAGTCGATTGTGAAAAGAATAATCGACTGTGATTGGTCAATTTCTTACTCTTAC